CTCTAGACTGACCAAGTATGTGACAAAATGAGGCATAAAAAAATAACATAAAGCTAACTGTTAGTAAAACGTAAATGTCACTTATTTTCTTTCAAATATGTCCAACTATTTATTATAAGTGTAAAATATTTAATGCTACTTGATAAATTGCATTTATTTTATTCTCAAACTTATTAATAATTATGTTCATTAATTCATGTTTAGTAATAATGCATACTACTTAGGGATCTATTTTATTTTTAGGATGGTATTACAAAAGTGAAATTCAGGCATATATAATATTTTTAATTGATTTTATTCAGTTCCCATTTGCTCATAGGTCCTTAATTTTTTTCATTAATGGTCCTTAAAAGTACTTAATTTCCGTGTGCAGAATTGTGTATAAACCCTGTAATAGGGTAACAGGGTGTTAACATTTTTCTAGACTTAAAAAATGTCTCTTATATTAGTTACTTCAGTAGACAGAGAATTAAAATAGAATGACTAGATTTTAAAATATCTTATTGGCAATATTCACATTGAAAAACAAGTCATATAAGAGCAATACATTTAATTAAAAGTTGGTCAATAGTTGACATTTCAATAAAGATCTATTCAAAATGGTCTGTTTTTATCTTTATTCTGGCATTTCTGCATGAATGAGAATCTAAGTATGCCTAGTACCACAATGTAAATTGGCAGATATATCCTTTATAGAAAATTGTTTTCACTTTGTCCTATAACAGGGAAAAAAACTGAGTTTTTAAATTTATACTTTTTTTTAATAATTCTAATTTATGTAATTTATAGTATATCTCTTCATGTATAATATATCTAATTGATAATTTTTATAAAGATGTACATTATTTGTGAGTATTAAAATAATGGAGTATATATATATTTCAGTCCTTTTAAATACTATTGAATCAGATTTAGATTTGATAATAAATGTCATGCCATAATATTTAGTATGACTGTAGTGTGGACTGGTCTAGCATTATTTTGGGGAAGGGTGAATTAAAGAGAAAGTAATATTTATGATGCACAGTGGTAAATATTACAGTATAGCTACTTCAGCAATTATTTTGATATAAATCATATTCAGCGAATAAAGCTGAGTTGTAAAATTTGTTAATATTGATTCAGATATTATCAGTATTCTTAAGCACTATATTAATTTCATTCTGTAGAAACTGCTACAGATTTAGTAATGCAAATATACATGCTATATATTTTATTTAAAGACGTGATATAATCATTCATGTTGAGTCTTATAACTTTTGACATAAATTTGATTAACTGTATTGTATATTTGTTTGTTTTGAGTAGTTATGTTCTATATCAAATAAGTTGTATTTTCTGTTGTAGCAAACATCTATCTGGATGTTTTGTAAAACCATATCCTGTTGTAAATGTAGCTAAAAGTAATATTTAAAAAAAAAAAAAAAAAAAAAAAGTTTTATGGAAATAAAAATGGTGTTCTCATAACAGGTGGCCTATGGGGCTGTATCTGTAACAACAGATGACCGAACCCATGTTTGCTCTTGGTTACCCAAACCTGGAAGATTTGGGTATGCTGTGTTTTTAGCACTCAAACCAAAAATGTTCATTTTTACCCATAACTGAAAATCGCAACTATCAAAATTTGTAAAAAGTCAAAAAATTGCAAAAGTACGAGTCTTCAAAATAAACTCAGAGCACTTTTCTTAGAATTTATTCTTTTTTCTAACTTATACTAGGACAATATATGTAAAATACACAATTTTATTTCATGTGTAAAAGTTTATGTGAGACTGTTATGCTCTGCTTTGTACTTTTCGTTTGGTTTCTGAAAATTACCATCCTTGAAAAGTGTTCTAATATCAAGACCGGTAGAGACACCCTCTTTTAGTTTGATGATTGATAAGGCTGGAAATTAGTCGTAAATGTGATTAAAACATTGACCTTCTTTTAATAAGGCTTTGACAAACTGTTTCATCAAGCCCAGCTTAATATGCAGAGGTTAAAGGAGTAGATAGAGTTTATTCAGATCTATGAGAACTTTTTAATTCTATGTTCTAGTGAAGTCCTTTTTCTCCAATCTTTCTTCATTCAATGGTTTTCTCTACTTCTACTATCACATTCATGCAAAAAAGAAGAGAACTTTGAGTACCCTCATTACTCTCCTAGGAGCATCAATATTATTTAGAGATTGCTGCATGTAATCTGTGTCTGATCATCAGTTCAGTTTTATGAAGAATGACTTCCAAATCTTTATAACACTCTTTTAAATGGACAGAGTGCCTCTTTGGTATTGATGCATATGCATTCCCATTGTAAAGGAGGACAACTTTCAGGCCTCTTTTTTTTAAATCTGCAAACAATCTCCAGTTGGTATTTTCATATAGAGTGTTAAATTGATTTAAAAGTCAGCATACATCAGTACAGAAGGCAGTTTCTATTTTTTGAAATTTTATGAAAAATATGGAAGGAATCCTTTTCTCTATACCTGAACCAGAAAAACGAAGTGACAGCTGCAAGCAGGTTCATCTCTTTAAGTCTCGAACCTAATCAGATAGCTTTCTCTCACCTTCTTAGCAAGCCTTCGTGGTGTAGTGGTCTGCAAACTCAGTGCATAATTGAGAAGTCCGTGGTTCGATTCCTGGCAAAGGTGTTGCTAATATTTCTTCTTGCTTGCTTCTAAAAATACCTAATGAGGAGGGACCTTTAGCTGCCCTCGAAATCGATTGAGTGTTTCAATATACTTACGCTAAATACGAGGTTGTTTTTACGATTTTGATTGAATACCTAATGTCTCTACAGTGGCACCCGAACAAAAAGGGTGTTGTATGAGGATTCTCCTCACTCAGGATTTGGCGATTGGTCCCCTAAAAACCCAGTTGCCCTTTAAAAGGGGGGTATATAAGGTATTTCTCCCGCCTTCTTAGCGAGCCTTCGTGGTGTAGTGGTCTGCATGCTCAGAGCATAATTGAGAGGTCCGTGGTTCGATTCCCGCCGAAGGCATTGCTAATTTTTCCATTCTGCCCTGCTTCCAAAAATACCTAATATCTCTACAAGCTGAGATTGTGAAAAAAGCTCTGATATTGCCATGTTCGTACTCCTTGATGTTATATTCATTTGAATCACTTGTGAAACTGTCTGTTTCAGGTAAATTTTCTGGTAGAATTGGCTTTGGTCTGGACCATAAGGAACTGGGCATAAAGTGGATGGTACATTTGGGTGCATGATTCTTTTATTCTTCATACTGAACTGCAAATACCAATCAAACAAAAGTAACAATTACTGCTATGGTATCATGGCTCTTGCCACACCATTAAAACTCCAGATTTGAATATTTCTCTTTCAGTGTTTGACCACTGTCCAAGTCCTTCAGCAGATGTGTGGCAAACATAGTGGGGTGTCAAGTTTTGTCTTAATTCGCTATTTTCCCTGCAAAGTATGTGAAGTACACTTGTTGAATGAAACTTGTTATTTTTTAATTTTGTGATTCCACCAGTAACTCACCACAAATATAGCAAAAAGAATCTGCAGATTTTTACAGCCTCTTGAAGTCATTTAGAAAACGGAAAATTTGATTTAGAGCATGAAATAAATTATCCTTCAGCAAAAACATATTATATCAAGAAGCAAAATAGAAAATTTGATTTAAACATGAAAATAGCTAAGTTCAGCACTAAGAGTTGCACAATGCATGAGTAACATGGGTAGCTGCCGATAACCATGTTAAGACTTGTCACAACCAGTCAAATCTGAGTTACCTCAACTTTTGGCCAAGCTCTTGACTACATGCATGCACCCAGTAATGAAGAGCCAATTCTGTTATGGTTGTTTCCAATGTAAAAAAAAAATTTGCAAATTCTTTAGAGGGAAGGAGAAGGGTGTCAAGTGCCTAAGGTATCTCTTAAAAATTTTTTAAATAGTAATGAAAATATGTGAAAATGCAATAAAATAGAAAATTAGGCTCCTTTATAGCAATTTTCATTAGAAAACTGAAGGAGTCGATCCATCAGTTCCCCTCAATTGTTTTGCTATAAGAATGCTTAGTATAAGCACAAAAACAATTAATTATAAGAAAAAAAAATGTTTTATGTCTATTTTAATTTCTCATATTTTCATAATTTTGAACTTTGCAATTTTAGAAAAATCCTGATGTGGTGGCAAAGAATGAAGGTCATTTTTAGATTCAGCGCTAAAAAATACGTAAGAGTTTAAAAAAAGTTTAAAAAATACAGCCATCCCAGGCTTATGTTTATGAGTATGAATCACATATTAAACCCACCTGATAGTAAATCATTGGACAAATTTTGTTGCTATGGTGCCAACATTCAGACGATGGAATAACTTTGGGATCGTCTTTAACAAGTAATTGTACAAAATATGAGAGGAACTACATCCACTTTGCCGGCCAGTTACCTTGCTGAATTGCAGTGATGATCTGTCAACTAGGGAGACCAATCTCTGGCCATGTGAAGAGACATCAGGACAGTGTTTATGTAAATGAAAATTAGGAATGGCTATTGGTGTTTGTCGTTTTTACGTGTGATTATAGTAGTAGTAAAATGACGACAAATCTGAAGTAGGATTACTTCAACTGACAGATGTTAGACAGGATCTCTTGATCTGCTTCTTTAATGTGCTTAAAATACAATTATGACCACAGAAGTCACATGGTCCTTTCTAGGAACACTACAGTGCATGCATCTACTAATGTATAATTTAATATTGTAAGCTGGTAATGTAGTAAACATGTATGTATAATATCTTTGTACTTGTTTATTTTTATTTTTGTATCTTATGTTGCTTTTCATGTGGTTTACACAGTAATGGTATCACTTTGTTTGGTTTTGATCATGGTTCACTGGTGGTAGGTCACCTGTTGCGAGAATGCCATAAATTAATAAATTTAGAATTTCAAAAAAGTAAATTATTTGCATTTTTTACTAAAATTTACCACCTGTTATGTATAATACTTATGAATACTCAGCTAGTGAAATATTAACTGAAAAAAATTTTTTTAATAGGTTTAAGGATTTGAGTCTTGCTGAGCCAACTTTTACTCATATGGCATTGAAACAACTTCATAAAGAAGGTTTCATATCTCATATTGTTTCTCAGAATTGTGATGGATTGCATTTAAGAAGTGGCTTACCAAGGAGTGCATTGTCCGAAGTGCATGGCAACATGTTTATTGAGGTTTATATGCTTTACATTATATTTTGGGTTTACAAATACAGAGTCTATTTGCACTTTTTTTAAATGATTTTCATTGTATTTACAGAAATATTGTACCTAACATTTTTGTGTTTTAAATGTTCTGTTTGACAGCCCTTATTCTTCACTATCTTTCTATACTGTAATTTCCAGACAGCTTTCCAAAGTCCAGGGAAGATTGTAGGTGGACGCTTGGACAATCCGCTTTTCAAACCTTTAAAAGCGCAAAAACGTATGTGATATGCAGGAGATTTAGTAGGTATATGAGTGAAGGGTATAGTGCTGATACCCAATTTCTTGTTCCATTTTTTCCAGGAAATTAACAATGGGTTTTGACATATGGGTGTTTGCTTTGTCCTGATGCAGTTCTACTGATTAATGAAAGTGTGGCCAAAGAGAAGGTGTTTCTTATTTAAAAATTGTATGAGATATATTTCTCATATGTAGACTTGATCTTAATACTTTCTCCACTCCCTTTATTTTCAGTTTGCTGCTATATGAAAAACAAACAACAAACATAAAGCCCTTTGAAAAACTTTCTTTAAATTCTTCGAACCATGTTTTAAGATTTTTCCTCCCTCCTCTTAGGTGATATTAAATGGATCACTTTTTATTGCAGTCATTTAAAAATACACCCAAGATTCATCTATTCTGACAACATGTTTTCATTTTTGTCTGGATAAATGTTTTTCATAAAGAATTTGCAGTGCATTCTGCATTTAGTGGTATGTTGTAGAGAAAAATGATGTGCATCCCCCCTCCCCTTTTTAACCTTCAAATCAGCATTTATTACTTTGGTTACAGCTAACACAGCATTTCAATCATTTTGCAATTATCCTTTGACTTAGCAGAGGTTATATATATATGTAATAGATTCAAACTCAGAAGCAATGACCAGGAACACGAATTTTGATGGAGCAGAAGAGTTGATCCATAATGACTAGGAAACTGATGGCGAAGGCAGATTAAATCTACAGTTTTATTTTCACAACATGTTACGGCTACACACAAGTCAGCACATTAAATGTGCCTGTTCATTTTTTATTTTTCTTACATAAATTTTAAGAATAAGAAAAAGCTCTAGGAAAGGCCGGAGCAGTGTCGATGCTTGCTTAGATCCATATTGAAGAAGAATCTTGATTGCGTAGAATGCCAATAATGTTAACTTTTTAATATCTAAAGAACTTGGCAGTTGAGGCAGTTTTAATTCCATTTTAATTTCCAATTGATATTTGTGGCCACAATTACTTGGCACTCTAGTCTTGCCTTTCCACAGAAGATTTACATTTTTGATATTGTTGAGATAGAAAGCAAGCGAGCGAAATTACACCTTAGCACAGTAGAGAGCAAAGCTGAAGTGCAAGATAGTTATGCAAGATGGAAGCACGCGAAGAGAAACGTTTTGGTTTGCAATTTGGTGATTGGTCAAGAGGCATCTGCATTAATTGTTACGTAAGATCGCATGATTAATTTGAATGATGCAGTTTAGACTAAAGCACTATTTTTAGGCAGATAGGTGAAGTTCTCAAATGAAATAGAAAATAAAAGAGGTTATAGTGAATTAAATTTAGAAGTTTGCTTTCATATTTTTTATCTTACACATTCCTTCCTTTCAAAAGAAAAAGGTGAAGCGATAGAGAAGCCTTTTTTAGAGAAAAAGCATTAGAGTAGCAAAAATATGAGAAATATATTTTTGATACATACAAAGTATAATATTAGATTTCAAACAATAAAATTATAATACGTAAAAATTTTGACTTCAATAATGTTTGGGTCTCGTCCCAAATAACACACACTAAATAAATTCGCTGGTTCGATTCTTTATTAATTCTCATAATTAATTACAATTAACTCATAGCTGTGACTAGCTCTCTTACACCGTCGATGGCGATTCTCAAACTCGTCTGATCATCACATTACAGATGCGCATGCGTGGATTACATTACAGATGCGCAGGCGCGAACATGCCGCCCCGCGTTGCAATGCTTAGCATTCAACTATTGTAATTAAGATATAGCATAAAAATTAAACAAGTATATCATAAACAATTTTGAATAAGTACTATTACATAAAATCATTTTTATAATTAGACATTTACCATATACATTAGCGTACAACTCAAAGCAATACAATATAACATTTCAGTTACATAATGACATTTTATCTGAAGCACATTCAATTTTACACAACAACGATAAAGACAATACTCATTTTTGTATTGGAAGTCACATCATTTGGTAATTGGTGGTTTGAAAGTTCCAGTTTGAAATTTTACATTGCTCAAGCGAACCTTTCTATCTTTACCATAAAATATTTCTATTATACGACCAACTGCCCTATTACAACAAGGCAAATTATCTTTAATTAAGACCATGTCTCCAACTTGTATATTGTTTTTAGAACTTGCCATTTAGATCGATTTTGTAAATGACTTAAATAATTGAAGTTCCATTTTTTTTTCCAGATAATTTGTATTAATCTTGTGATCTGTTGCCACAATTTTAACCTGTTAATGTTAACTTCCGTGATATCTGGCTCAGGGATCGAATTAATTGCTCTACCAATTAAAAATGCCCAGGTGTTAGAACCTCTAAATCATCAGTGTCCGAAGACAAGGGTGTCAATGGTCGGGAATTTAAAATTCCTTCAATCTGAATCATAATTGTTAAAAATTGTTCAAATTTCAATTTTGCATTACCTACGACACGTTTGAAATGGTACTTAAAAGATTTAACTCCAGCCTCCCAAAGGCCTCCAAAATTAGGTGCTCTGGGAGGGAGAAATTTCCATTCGATATTCTCAGAACTCAGATAACCAGCTAAACGCTCATCTTGTTCGTTCACTAGTTTGTTTAACCTCTTTAATTCTGCATTTGCACCTACAAAATTTGTAGCGTTATCACTAAATAGTGTTAAACTTTTACCTCTCCGTGCAAAGAAACGTTTCAAGGTAGCTATTAATGCTTCAGATGTTAGATCTGTTATCAGCTCTAAATGAATGGCCTTAGTAACCATACAAATGAATATACACACATAAACTTTTTGATATGTACCTTTTCTCTGTTTTTTGTACTTAATTAAGAATGGGCCACAGAGGTAACTCCAGTACAATTGAATGTAAGATTAGCTGTGATTCTTTCCTGGGTAAATCACCCATGATTTGCTGAGCTACATTGGGATTAGCTTTAAAACATATTATACAATTTTTTACAATTTTTCTACAAACATTTCTATCACTTACAATCCAAAATTTTTGTCTTATATGATATAACAAAGATTGAGAACCCACATGCAAATATTTTAAATGATAGTAATTAACTATTAACTCTGTTAATTTATGTTTAGAAGGCAATAATAGGAAATTTTTTCTCATAAGTTAAATTGCTATTTTTTAATCTACCTCCAACTCTCAACAGTCCCATTACTGTCAATGAAAGGGTTAAGACTTTTTATAGAACTATTTCTTGGAACAATATCTGATTTTTTAAGATCATTTATCCTCATTTATAAAATACTCACCCTGTACTAATTTTTATTAAAGTTTCTTCAGCTACTCTCAATTCTCCCACTTGTAAATTACCTACCCTCCTTTTGTTCTTGCTTACAATTCTTGTAAAACCTAAAACAAAACTTATAATACGAATTAATTTTAAATACTTATTACTGCAATTCATAAATCTTAACAAAATTATTCACATTCAGATTTAAACATGTAGATAGTTCAGAATCAGCAAAGTTTTTAAGTTCATTACTGTCTTTTTTCAGTAATTGCTTCAGGTATAACTCTTATAGGGTACTCATCCTTCCATTAAGAAGTCAGGCCCGTTCCACCACAGTTAACTTAGATGCAGTTTTTTGGCAGACATACCTCTAGATATGAGATCTGAATGGGTTTTTCTTCAGAAGCGATATGATGCCACTGTGCTATTTCAGTCAGATCCTGTATATTTGAAATCCGGTTTGCAAACAAATGTCTTGAGCAGATGTGGCTCTTTCTTCATCCATGACAGCACAATCATAGAATCGGCTCCAAAGGTGAATAGCGGTAAGCTCCAATTTTAACTGATGATTTCACTCGCTGCATCAGTTTTAGCTAATAGCACTCAAAGCTCAAATCTTGGGATTGTAGTCTTCTTTAGGGGGGAGACACGCGATTTACTGCACACCAACCTCATTGATGTATGGTTTGTTGCTGATGTTGCTTTACAGTAGATAACTGCTCCATAGGCGGCCTCTGAGGCATCACAGAAACCATGTAATTCAATCTTGATTCTATCCGGTAATAAAATACATCTAGGGACTTCAATGTTGTTAATTAGCTGCAAGGTAGTGGAGAATTCTTTCCATTCTTTAGCCTCCTTTTCTGGCAAAACATCATTCCAGCTCAATTTTAACAGCCATAATTTCTGCATAAATATTTTTGCTACAATTATAACTGGAGAAATGATACCCAACGGGTCAAAGATGCGAGATATGACGGATAACACTTGCCGTTTCGTAACCTTTACGTCGTCTTCGATTTTAAAAGTTTGAAGCTCAACAATCTCCTTTTGACTTCCATAAAATACCTAATGCTTTAGATTCTTCTGATTTACCAAAGGGATATGTTTTTGTCGTTTGTTTGACACAGTTCAGTAGCATTACTACACCACTTATGGATAACATACCTCCACTCTTCAAAATGCCTATTACTGATTTTGAAGTTCTAACGCAGAACTTAGCGACTCAGCTCCAGATAGAATATCGTCCATGTACATGTCTTCTCTCAGTACAGTGCTGCTAAAGGAAATTTTATCTCCTTCATCCTTTGACAGCTGTACAAGTGTTCTCATTGCTAAAAATGGTGCCTCACAGTTCCATAGGTTACAGTAGTTAGCTCAAAGTTTTTTAACTGGCTTATCATGCCTTCTTTCCATAAAATCCTTTGCAACTTCCACTGATCTGGATGATAGAAATAGCTCGATACATCTTTTGTATATCAGC